GCGGGCGCGAGCGCTCGAGTGTGTCGCGCGCTGTAGCGGGCGCCCGAAATACACCGCGCGGGGCAGTGTTTCCGACAGCGCGCCCAACTCGTTATAACGCGCGCGCCGTTTTTGCGCGCCCGCTGGAGCGACCCGCCGTGTTGCGCGCGCTAAAACGAACTTATTTGCGGCGCGGCGCTAGTTTAGCGCGCCTGTTGGAGATGCTCTTAGGCGGTGACGGCGGCGGCGCTTGGCGTCGGCAATCGTACACTTCCCGGACGCCCCTGAGGCGCACCTTGCCGCCGGTGCTTGTTGATGGGAGTCTGTACCTGGTGACCAGCAGCCGTACATCCTCGGGAGTGTCGCAACCCTGACGAGATGCTGGTGGTTGACGTTGCTACCGAGGCACACCGTACTTGCCGTCTCCCGATCTGGATCGAGGAGGAGTTCAACCCAGCCTGCGATCCGCAGGTGAACGCCTTCGAATGAGCGGGCGGCTGTGCCTCGCCGTGAAAACTGTTCGCCGGAAATTCCAGTTCTGGGTCATGTCACTGCCACCGCCGGACCAGTGGGTCGAGGGCCATGACAGCAAGCTGTGGTGGGATCTGCGCTACAGCTTCTACGTCCACGACGCCTCTAGCGTCATCATGAAGACGAGCGCATGGTTCTACGATGGGACGATGTGCTTCAGACATGAAGACGCCTTGTTCATGCACGACACTAAAGGACGCTCGCTGGAGCCATCCCCGGAAGCTGATTGTCCTCAATGTGACCGGTGACTCCAGCTGCCGCCAACGCCCTCGAACTGCAAGTGGAACATTGTCGGGGGTTACGCCCCAGCCTGCTCTCGCCTCTGACCTTGGCAACGCCGCCATCGTCTTGGGACGGCGAAGAAGAAAGACAAGACTTCCACCATGCCATGTTCCTTGCAGTGCGGCGACAAGAATGAAAACATGACGTACGTGCATGCTGAGCTAACTCAAACTGCAGTCTGCAGGCAAGCATCAACACCTCTCTCAGGGCATGGTCGAACTCACTCGTCATAACATTCCTAGTTGCAGTTTATTTTCTTGAGAAACTACTCCTCCGTCCCATAATATAAGAGCGTTTTTGACAGTACACTGCTGTAAAAAAACGCTCTTATATTATGAGATGGAGTAAGTAGCTTTCTTTTTTGGCATGTTTTTTAGCCGTTCTTTATTTAGGTATAAAGCCTTCATGGCTGGTTCTAGCAGGTTATGTTATGTACATTGAGTACAACGGTAGCACTGATTGCTCCGATGCATCAGATACAAATCATTGAAAAAATACAAAGTTCTATGAGGATGTAAGTGCACTATATATGTATTATCATGGTATAAAATATTAGACCCAATTAAATTCAAAATAAAAATACATATCTAGAAGAAGAAAAAGGACAAATCACAACATATTCCGAATTTGCATCTGAAATTTTATGGTATGGTAGATTCTTGTGTGTTTCTTTCGTCGATTCTTGTTACTAGTACTACAACCTATTATCTACTTTTCAGATCCAACATTTGCAGATATGATATTTTTAAACCGGGTGCATTGGTACCATCAAATGATTGGGTGCACTTGATACTTCTCCGTATCTTCCTCTGGGTATGGCACCTGCAACCTCTGAATATATCAAGAGGCGGTGAGAAAATACCACATGTACACTCGCTACACACATTAGCTCTTGAAACTATTGACAAAGAGAGCTTCCCTTCGATTTCATTTAATAGAAACCACCAGTTTACAAGTAAGGCCCCGTTTGATAGCAAAGTATTTTTAAAGTATTCTGACAATACTGCAGTTTTTCTGAATACTAAAGTTTTAATTACTATGAGGTGTTTGGTTACCTACAAAAACTGCAGTATTAATACTACAGTATTCCCAAAACCATAGTATTTTCTCCGTTTTAAAAAAAAAAACCCCAGACCTCTTTTTTTTTAACTGAGCACGTGAAAGAAACGGGTGCCCTTATCTTCTTTGCTTCACGCCGCCGTCGTCCCGTCGTCTCTGGAGATCTTCTTTGTCGGACATGGACAAACCAAGAGACATCAAGGGAAAGAACAACAGTGTGAACACGGAACGCTATCTTGGTCACACGGTTACAGTTCACGGTCAGCTTCTAGGGCCCCTTGACGGTGAATTGCATGAAGGCCAGGCCGTGCCGCAGTCGCACAGCTTCGCCCATGGTGCACCTCCAGCAACGCCATATTGCGGTGCAGCTCCACCATGACTCGACGGTGACGCGGAAGAAGGCCAAGCCATCTCGTCGTTCGTCGTCGTCTACTTCGTGTTGCAGAGCGTCCTCCATGGTAAGCTACAAGCCATGTGATGGCCGTACGGTGTTGTTCAGTTTGTTCATGCGGATGGTAAACATGCATGGCTGATTGGTTGACTGAAACGTCAAAGCTAGCTAAAACCAATTTTACATTGCTGCATACGGCACTAGCCAAATAGGTCAATGTATTATCAATACTTCAAAATAGTTTGATATGTGAAAACCGTGGTATCTTACACCAACGGGCTAAAATACTGCAGTTTTTTAATACTTTTTTTTTACTTTACTTTGCTACCAAACACAGCCTAAGCTTTTGCATATTTCAGGTTGTACTCTCTCCGTTCGGAAAAACTTGTCACCAAAATGGATAAAAAGGGGTGTATCTAGAACTAATATACATCTAGATACATCCCCTTTTATCTATTTTGATGACAAGTATTTCCGGACGGAGGGAGTAGTATACAAGATTGATGATGTCAAGTTGTTCACACAAGAGGTTGTGGTATTTTTACAAAAGCAAATTTATTAGTGTAGAAAATTGAAAGATGAAGTCGAAATGAAATGCACTTATATTTGTTAGCCTCAGTTATATATAAGCTTTTATCCCCTTCTCTCTATTACATTAGGCAGAAGGCGTACAATCTTTATGCAACGCTCCTCCTCTTGTTGGACACGAATGGCGTTCCACGACCTTACCTTGTCTTTTTTCTTTTGCAAAAAATATCGGATCTATTATAAAAGTTTACTGGAAGTACAATACACCTCAAATATAATAAAAATTACATTAGGGTCCTTGGAACACCAAACGACCATTGCCGCCACCAGAACAAGCCGCCGACGCACCGCTGTCGTCGCTCCCATGCCGGAGCCGGCCTGACCTTATCGATGACAAATGAGAAGTCTTCATGCACGTGTCCCTAAGGACCAACGCCCTGGAGCCGTATTCGTTGTCATTGAATCTTTAAATTGATCTGAAGAACCTGACACCAAATATCGCCGTTGCGTACGGACGACGAGAAACCCTAACCTCACCACCACGAGGAGCTGGCACGAATCTACGCCAGAGATCCGTCTAATCTGTCTCAACGAACGAACTAGAGGAGGATCGGAGCCTGGGAGACTGACTCGAAGAAGAACCGCCACCATCCGTCCAAAAACGCCGCCCCTGCGAGGATTGAAACCCTACCTATCTACTAGCCGAATCCGAGGCACCAAAAATCCCCTCCGCGTCACCGGCCGCCAGAGGCTCGCCTGTGAAGATCAAGGGGAGGAAGGCTTTCCCTAGTCGCATTACGAGAGGGAAAAGAAAACATTTTCTTCATAGCAAACAACGAACATTGTGCTAGTTAAACCTAACAACATAACTTAACTACTTTATCGAGGAATACATAAGAATTGAACAGAACATTTATGTCTTCACATGCAAGACATTTATATATCAAATTGCAAGTAGACTCCCACTTTAATGTTTTTTCTTTGAAAAGGCCTAAGGCCATATATTAAGATCCACATATCCTTACGAACACATTCTTATAGAAAAATAAAATTACAATCAAAGTCTTGAGGATGTTGAAGTCTTCTTCCTACACATCCACCGACAATACGCCGTGTGTATAGATCGATGCTGCCTAACTTTCTTAGCCCAGAAGATTGTAGAGTGGCCAGGAAGTCGTCGATACCGATCAAAACAACGGCCTGTAAAAGGAGAACGTTAACAAAGGCCACTCGGAACGTTAACAAAGGCCACTCGGAAGACCATGAGAGCCGGTCGAACTTAGGCGGATCCACTGAAAATCTAAACCGACTAATCCCAAAAGACTTGTCGGAGACACATTTCCACACACCCTCCGCCAATGAAAAGTTCAGCAATAAGATAGGAATAGTGTGATGAAGGCATTATTCCTACACCAGGACAGCGTCGTAGCCACACAGTCCCAAACCGAACCCCAAGACTCCTTAAAGGAAAATTTGAGACAAATTGCCCGTGCCTCTACACGCTATGTCTGAATCTGACGTACCCATGCCTCTACACGCCATGTCCAAATCTGAGGCCGATGCATCAACGCCATCTTCTCTGGTGGCCTAGCCATGTCGGGCCGCCGTTGAAGATCGTCGTGTTGGATTCCTTCGGACGCCGCCATCGAGCACCACCTGACGCCGCTAACAAAAGACGCTGATGCCAGTTGCATCGCGCTGTCTTTCCCGTGGACCTGACGTTCCGCCTACCACAACAGACCTCCGGCTCCAAGACTTCCCGAGGCCACCTCCGTCGGCACCGGGAGGGGGAGACGGCGGAGGGTGGCTAGGGTTAGCGGTCAATCGCCTTATCCCTCTCTCAAAGCGTTTTCTGATTCCCCCTCAATGGTTCTCAAGCCCCCAGGAGATAGATCGGCAAGCCATAAGTAACTGTGGATTAGAGGTGACATGCTAGAAACCTGACAACATAGAATGGATAACTAGCAAACATGCTCAAATTTCAAATACATTGTCCAACTCCGAAGAACACAAATATACATCGGGCAAGAGGTGGAGGACAATATTTTTTAAAGGAATCAAGAAGATAACGTTAAATTTCGACAAAAGCGTATAGACAACAGTACATAACCACACGGAAATCCACTACACACGAGAGCACTCACTAAACAGATCCGCCCGAAAAACAGAGCACACACACGGCAATGAAAAGCAGAGAGCCGCGGGCAGGGACACGACGGCAATCAGCCAATCACTCGTAGGTGGGTGCCGGCGCCGGCGCCGCGGTGGGAGCGGCGCCGTGGTGCTGCGACGACGAGACGGCCCCGCCCAGGTGGCGCACGGCCTTGTCGTAGCTGACGAAGCCCATGAACCAGAAGTCGTGCGAGTCCACGGTGACGATGTGGATGTACTTCTCCGGCGGGCTCTCCTTGGCCGTGACGGGCTCGACGGCTGCGAGCTTGGCCAGCGGGATCACGATCTTGTAGTAGCTCCATGCGGTCTGGCCCGACGGCGCGGTGAATGAGAGCGGGCGGTCGCTGCAGAAGGCGACGTTCAGGTTGGTGAGGTAGAGCGTGCCGGCGACGGGCCCCGTGGCCGTGGACAGGTAGCAGGCGAACGTCTTCTTCACGTGCTCGTCGGGGCCGGAGGCGAAGGTCTGCTTGTACAGCTTCTCGAAGCCGCCCCCCGTGATCGCCTTGGCGCCCAGGCTCAGCTTCCCCATGGCCGCGTCCGACATGGACGGCGCCGTCTTGACTGCAAGAACAAAGAAGAAAACGGTGTGAGCAGAGCAGAAGCGGAGTATCATCTTGATGAAGGTTGGATTTGTTGGATGGGTTTGTGCTTACGGTTGAGCCAGATGTTGGAGGAGAGCTCCTCGGCCTTGCGGCTCCATACGTTGAAGAAGTCGAGGATGTGCTCCATGGGGCTGTCCTTGGTCTCCTTGTCCGTCCGCCGCGTGGATGCCGCCGGCGCCGGCTCCGGCCCCCCCATGATGACGTACGGCGGCAGCTCCTGGTCGCCGCGCGAGGCCGTCCACTGCGCCGCCTGCTGGTTCTCCGGGTGCGCCCCCGGGGCCGCCGGCGGGCCCATCTGCCGCGTGCCCCATTTCGCCGACTCGGCGTCCGCGGGCGGTGCCGGGGCGGCGTCCTTGCCGTCCATGGATTGCTGCGCCAGTGGGGAGGACGATGGCGGCGGCGCTCCCGTGCCCGGCTGCGGGGCGGCGTACTTGCCCTCCATCTCCATGGCCTGCTGCGTCAGGGGGGAGGACGGGTGCGGCGGCGCGCCCGGCTGTGGCGCGGTGGCGTCCAGACCGTCCATGGCGTGTTCCATCGAGGGATAGGAAACCTGCGATCCCGGCTGTGGCGCCGCGGCGTCGTTGCCGTGCTGCGTCGGGGGGTAGGAGTGCGGCGGCGCCCCGGCCTCGGCCTGCGCCGCGGGGGCGGTGGGCGGTGTGGTGTAGCCCTTGCCGTCCATGGCTGCTAGCTGGTGGTGCTGGTGCTGCGGGGCAGGGGGGGCGTGGGCTCGGGGAGCAGGAAGGTGATGGTGGCGGTGGTTGATTTGGAACCGCAAGTGTGAGACGATTGATTTTGATGTTGAGGTGGATAAGGGAGGGACTGTGTTTTATAGGCCGGGCGGTGGCATGTCGGCCGGGGAGACGACGAGGGGCGCCACGAAGCTGCGTGTCGTCTGCTTCATGAGCAAGGACCTTCCAGCTTTGGCATGGTAGGGTAGGCGGTAGCCTTCGGGAGGAGGGAGTACGTGGAGAGCGGAGGCTTAGCCGCGGCGACGACGTGTCCTCGCGCCGCTTCTTCGCAGCGAAAAGGAAAATTCTCTTGGAACAGTCAAAACACCTTGGATCGGGCGACGCACGACAGGTGTGCTCTGACATCATCTCGTTGCTGAGTTGGCTTGGACCATCAACTTCTCGATTTCCTATTTAAAAAAAATGTACAGTACCTTTTCAAATTTATTTTGTCTTCCCCTCATTAAGAAAGGAGAAAAGTTCATTTTTTGTCCCTCAATTCTTCGGTTTGCTCTCTTTTAGTTCCTCAACTCTAAAACCGTATAGATTGCATCACAAACTCTCACAACCAGCCACTTTTTTATCCTGCGGGATTTCGCCGCTAAATCAATCCTGTTTGGCCCATGGGGTGAATAGTGCATGGATGAACAGTAGAAGTGAAGATTTTTAGCAAAAACAAACAAAAAAATCTGAATTTCTTTTACGTCGAAGATACTTAGGTCCGTAAGGTGCGTGCCAATTTTTGTCATGTTTGGATGTTTGAAGAGCTCGCGGCAAAAAAAAAAAAAAACTACATGTACTCGGTGATGAACAGTAAATTCAAAAGAATAGCAAAAAAATCTGAATTTTTTGCCATCAAAGATTCTCAGGTGCGCAAGGCGTGTGCAAATTTTCGTGTTGAAATGACATCTGAGGAGCTCGTGGCAAAAAAAAATAGCATACGTGTGCGCGCCGCTTCGGGTGGTTTTCAAATCCTCGGATGTCATTTTAGCACGAATAATTGCATGCACCTTGCGCACCTGAGAATCTTTGACATAAATAAATTTCTGTTTTTTTTTGCTATTTTTTAAATTTACTGTTCATCATGGAGTACATTTAGTTTTGTTTTTTGGCCGTGAGCTCCTCAAACGTCCAAACATGACAAAAATTGGCAAGCACCTTGTGCAGCTGATTATCTACGACGTAAAAAAAATTCAGTTTTTTTTTGCTATTTTTGTATTTTACTGCTCATCTGTGCACTGTTCATCTTGTGGTCAAAACCAAGTTGACTCGGCAGCGAAACTCTGCAGGGACGAAAAATGGCTGGTTTCAAGAGTTCATGGTGCAATCTGTTCGGTTTTAGAATTGAGGGACCAAAAATGAGCAAACAAAAGAATTAAGGGATAAAAAGTGAACTTTTCTCTAAAGAAAAGGGGGAATCTGCCCCTCTTCCCTCCCTCGCTGCTGGTGCCATGTCACTAGCGATAAAACTCTAGACGAGCGTATGCCTTCATACATACTCAATCTTTAGACGAATGTTTAACACTTTTGTAGCTTTAAATTAAACTGCATTCAATGGTAAAATGACTTATGTTTGTGTAAAGACGGAGTATTCATCGAAAAAGCAACAAAGTAGAAGTTAAACTTAGTTTTTGTTTCTAAAAAAGAAAAAGATCCGCATGCATATATGAGCGTATACGTTTATACTATGTTTCCAGAAAAAAAAAAGATAAGACATAGCCTTTTTTTTCTGTTTTAAAAAGAAAATATATAAAAATGACACAGTCTAGGCGAAAAGAGCCCAACCAAAAAAGACAAAGCATAACACATATAGTGGTATGCCCGGCCCAAAAGACAAAAAGAAACAAAAGCCATTGTGTTAGGTCTATCTTGTGGCGCGACTCAAATACCAGCATAGACAACAGAAAAAAAGACCAGCCTACAAGAAATGCATCATAAACCAGCTTTACGGGAAAAAAACTCATATATGTATGCGATTGACAGATGTATGTCTGATCAATTATTAGAATGACCCCAGTCAAGTGAGATTTAGTAAATCTTAGTCGAACTATAGTCGCACCTAACAATATATTTCTACATGCATGTGTAATTTAACTTGTGTGCTCGAACAATGGTTGTAGTTCTAGGGCCATGGCGGAGGCGGGGGCGGCCAGCAGGGCCAGAACCACCCTAATGTGTTGATTTTGTGCTTACTGTTGAGATGTAGATAACATATGTGTATTTCTTGTACAACAAGCCCTCCTCCTTTCATGTATAGTCGAGGACGTGGCTACCCTTTGTACTTATATATACGTGCATATTGCACCCGATCAATATATCGTGAGTTGCATAATTCTCTACATGGTATCAGCCTTAGTCCGATCCCTCCTCCCTTAGCGCGTCGTCGTCGCCTCCCAGCCGCCGCCGCTTCCCTGCCTACGCCCGCGTCGCCGAGCCCTCGCCGCCGCCGTAGCTCCTCCCCTCGCGCCGCTGGCTCCCTGCCGCCGCCCCACTCGCGATCCCTCCCAAGCTGCCGCTAGCCACCCGCCTCCTCGCCGCTAGCCGCACTCTCCCAAAACCCTAAACCCTCGCTACCCGCTGCCTTCCCCCTCCCATCTACCTGAAACCCTAAAAACCCGCCCCGGCCGCGGCCTAACCCTAGCCGCACCTAACCCTAGCCATGTCGGGTTCCAACCTGGTCTCCGACCGGTCCGCCGCCTCCACCCCTCCCGTGGTGAAGCCGCCGAACCCCTTCGACTCCTCCTCCGGCTCCTCCACCGCCACTCTTCCCGATCCCGCCTACATCCGTGATGTTCCCATCGAACGTCGCGTCCCGGTGATCCTCTCCCACAAAGAGGCGAATTTCTATGCTTAGAAGACATACTTCAATCTCCTCTTTCGTGAGTATAATCTACAGGACCACATCGACGGCACCGCCAACCTCTTCGTCCTCAACCGCGACGTCGACTGGCTGGCGATCGACGCCACCATCATCCGGTGGCTCTTCCTCACCGTGTCCAAAGACATCTTCCACACTGTCGTTCGCGACAGGGACGATGCATGCACGGTGTGGAACAAGATCGTTGGTCTCTTCACCGACAACAAGCTCCAACGGATCGTCTTCCTGCAGCAGGAGTTCTTCGGGTGTCATCAAAACGACTCCTCCGTCGACGACTACTCATGCGTCTCAAGACCCTCTCCGACGAGCTCAATGACATCGGCTTCAAGGTGGGCGATGAGTTGCTCCTCTCCACCCTCACCGCCGGCCTCGATGAGGATCTCGGCAACGCTGCCTCCAACCTCACCCTCATGGCGAACCCTACCTACGAGCGGGCGGTAGCTTATCTTCGTCTCGAGGAACGCCGGTTGAAGCATCTTCGCTCCCGTGCCGTTCACACCGCCTTCGCCGCCGGCTACTCACCGGTGGCCCTCCGCCCTCGGGTGCCCCCCCCGGCTTCCCAACGCCGTTTCAGGCGCCCCGGCCACCGGCTACTCCAGCGCAGAACAGCGCCTACGGCGCCCCGTACCAGCAGCGGCCTCCGGTCCCTGCTGCTCCTGCGGCTCTTCAACAACACTTGCCGCAGCAGCCACAGCAACAGCAGCCGCGCCAGAGGCGCCATGACCGCGGCAAAGGCCAACAGCAGCAGCAACAGCCGCGCGCCGGGCCCGTCCAGCAGCAGCCGCCGCCACCTTGGGGGGTGGCCACAACCCCTGGACCGGGGTTGTGTACGCCTACACTATGCCCGTGCCCCGCCCCCCCGCTCCGAGCCTCCTCGGGCCCGGTCCTTCCGGGCATCATGCCTTCTTCGCCGGTCAGCAAACCGGTCCGGTCGCTCCATCAACCTACTACGCTCCTACTCCAGTTGGCTATGGCGAGCCACCTGCTAGCAATGGCGTGACCGGCTACTCGGGCTACCCTGCGCCGGCCTCTTATGATCCAGCCCTGCTTGCTGCACTTCATCAACAGCCTCCGACCGGGGCTTATTCCGGCGGTGGTGATTGGTTCATGGACACCGGTGCATCTTCGCACATGGCCGCTTACCCGGGTAACCTCTCCTCCGTGTCTCCTATTCACACTTCTTCTTGTATCATTGTTGGTAATGGTGCTGGTCTTCCTATCACTCATATTGGTTCCACAAGTTTTCCCTCAAACTCTCGACCACTTTATTTCAATAATGTTCTTGTGTCTCCCGAGCTTATTCAGAATCTAGTTTGTGTTCGTAAACTTTCTCGTGATAACTCTGTAACTGTGGAATTTGACGAAGTTGGTTTTTCTGTTAAGGACGCCCTCACCCGGATGGTTCTTCACCGCTGTGACAGTCCCGGCGATACATACTCCGTCCAGCCTCCATCATCTTCACCCGCTGGACCAGTTGCACTTTCCGCCGACGTTGATCTCTAGCACGCCCGTCTCGGTCATCCTAGCTCCACCGCTCTTCGTCATATTATTAGGGATTTTTCTTTTACATATAATAAAACGGATGCGCACTCTTGTCACGCATGCCGTCTGGGCAAACATGTTCGCCTTCCCTTTAGTACTTCATCCACAGTTGCGTCGTTACCTTTCGAGTTAATCCATAGTGATGTTTGGACCTCTCCTGTTGCTAGTAACACTGGTTTTTCATATTATCTTGTTATCTTGGATGACTTTTCTCACTTTGTGTGGACCTTTCCATTACGTAAGAAGTCCGACGTTGCTGCCACTCTTACGGCCTTCTACTCTTACGTAGCCACACAATTCGGTCGTCCTATTCTAGCTTTGCAAACTGACAATGGGAAAGAATTTGACAACACTACCATCTGCAATCTTCTCTCCACACATGGCACTGTTTTTCGTCTTACCTGTCCATACACTTCACAGCAGAACGATCGGGCAGAACGCATTCTTCGCACTCTTAACGATTGCGTCCGCACCCTCCTCTTCCACACCTACATGCCACCCCGCTTCTGGCCTGACGCTCTCGCTACTGCC